AAGTGCTGCCATGGACGGAGAACATTTACAAACTCATTTGTAATATGATGTAGACCAAGAACTAATTTTGTCAAGGGAGAAATGTAGTTTTATTAAAAAAAAAAAAAAAATAATATATATATATATATATATATATATATATATAATATATATATATATAAAATAAATAAAAAATACAGTAACCTTACCATACACCTTAGTTGTGAATATACATTTTAACACATTTAAAATTTTTGATAATTTTAAAGTTTGTTATTAGAGTAACCTTGAAAAGGAGTTGCCATTTTGTGACTTCTGGCCTCATTATGGATACAAATACTGCTTGTCCTAACTGTGCCTGCTGTGGCAATATGTGTTTATGCAAATGAACGCGGGACATTAATCCTCAGGGCTGTGCTCAGTCGGACGCCTGTAGTCTGGTCCAATGCCCAGTCTGTCTTTAATAAGAGTTACCTCAAATGCACCACAAAAGTACAACATACATGCAGTTACACACATACACAGCTCTACTTTACATTTATTATTCATTTATTACAGGTGGTTTTAGATCTTAAAAATACCTAAAAAAAACAAGAATGGGGTTGCCTCTCCATAGATCTGACTTGTAACTTGGCCTGGTTTGGCCTCTATGAAGATAGAAAGTGTTTAATGCCATACTGTGAAACATTCCACACAGAGCAATAACATCTCCATGGAGAAAAGCATTTGACAAACCCTCCATTAGAAAAGTTACACAATCCACCTTTATGCCTCATCTTTACAGAGAATTGAATGATGTTTTTTGTGAAGAAATGTTACTACCCACCATTTTTTATCTGTCAATATCACTTTCATTCAGCTCTTTTCTCCACACTGGTTTCTGTACTAACAATAGCTGCCTGACTCCATGGTTCCTTTCAGACTGCTCCTGTTACAATACCAGTCTCAAATTGCCACACATTTAGCTTGTTGATTTTTGGGGAATGGAGTTTTTTCAAAGAGGCTCTAACCGATTATTATCTAGAAGAATGGTCTCAACCACCCTCTATTATGACCGCAGTTTGCAGTTATGTGGAGCTGGATCATGTAATTCAAACGATTTCTTGCTGCTCAAATTCTTACAATGGTGAAGTGATTCCAAGTTGGCTCCAAGACTTTATTTTTGCTATTATCTGCAGCAATTAGCATTAGCACTATTTCAGATTCAGTCATTATCTTCTATAACGATAATTTCTTTGTGGAGAGCTGAAACGTGTATGTCAAAATATTTCCTGTTACTGTGGAGTTATGATAAACCATTACAGGGAAGGTTGGCAGTTCACTCCCAGCTCTAACCAATGCATATGTGTTATTGTGTCCTTGAGCTAAACTCTTCACCACCAGGCACAAATTGGCTATTCATGAGTTTTAAGCTATGGCAATAGTACTCTGTTGGCATAATATTTAAAGAGCCCATGTTAAACTATTTTCTGATCTATGTTATAATGTTGTTTCCTCATTACAAACATATCTGGAGTCGTTTCATTCAAACATGTTTAACACACAAACAAGTGCATATTTGGGCTCAGTTCTTCTCTCAAACAGAAACACTCAGTATAGTTAGTTTTGCATTGTTTCATACATTTACACAATTCAAATTAAATATATCTTTGAATGGGGAAAAGGTCCTCTCAAAATCGGAAGGAATCATTTGTCTGAAACCCATGAGTACAGTAATATCTTACCACGGCTGAACTGAAAGAGTGAAGGAATGATGCACAAAAGCATCTGGAGAAGTGCTACGAGAAGTGCTAAGATTAATGTATTAAAATCCAATTTTCAGAGCTTTTAACCATGTTATAGTTGTTTCCACTTTTCATTTAGCGTCTCAAAGTTGTATTTGATTTGTGCATGTTTGAGTAAACTTTAATCACTTATTTTCAAGATATATTGCCAATCAACCTGTTTTCACCACCACTGGCATACGCCCACTGCTCTGTATTTACCTCCTCCTTCAATTTTATTTTCTTGATCAAGGATTAGATGTAGGATTTTGGCAGCGTTGTGCAGCTAGTGTGATCTGTGGCTGTCAGTCAGAGTTTACGAGTCTTTGTTGTGATGACATTTACAAGGCACCACAGTTTTTTAACACAGATGTTTCTTTTATGAAATCATTTTAGATGAACATTGCGACTTAAAATGTGCAAGTTAGAACATAATGATCCATGGATGTGATGCTGTAGATTATAACTATTTAGCAGTCTGAAGTACCATATGTTCTTTAATAAGACAGACGTTGTTGTTGTGTCCTTAGGCAAGACACTTAACCTCCCTTGCCCCCAGTGTCTGCCTACATTGGTGTATGAATGTGTGTGTACATGGGTGAGTGGTTCTTTGATATAAACCACTTTGAGCGCATTTCAGGTGTAAAAGTACGATATAAAAGTGTGACCATTACTATTTTACCATTAAATTATTGAGTTCATCAGCAGCCTATTGGAAAACATGCACATCCCAGTACACACAGATTCCTTCTAAAGATTTACAGACAGGACATATCCGCTCATGTTGTGGTCACTGTCTGAGCTGGTGACAATAGACATGGTTACAGCCCTAATGGAGTATCAGACTCAGGTCCTGTAGTGAGACTAGCAGTGCTCCCTTCACATTAAAGAGGCCATTACTAGACATTGATTGCAGTTAACACGGACGCCAGGCTGCATTAATCGTCCCATCTTTCTACTCCAATGGCCCCAACCTCTGAGCGCTTCTCCATTTAGCAAGATCCAGGGAAGTCCGAAGATTTCCGTCTCAGTGTATATCACGTCAGTGTGGCAAAATTTTAAAATGGCAGTGAATAAAGAAACCAATAGGCAAGTTGGTATGACGCAAGATTTGATTACAGTGCACTTTTGGCATTGTATACAAAAGAACACAATAGCATGCAGTGAGTGGGCTAAAGTTAAAAGCATTATCTAGTTTATGCAACAGTATTTTTTACTGTCTTTACATGCAAATTAGAATTCGCTTTTTAAAGAATATGATATGATTAGTTTATATGGACATTTTAAAGGGCCCACATCACACTATTTTTTGTTCTCTGATATAATGTTTCCTCATAAAAAACATATCTGGAGTGTTTTGTTTCATTCCCACATGTTTAACACACAAAAAACCCTGCAGATTTCTTTTTTCTCCAGCGAATCAGAATACACTACGGTTTGCAAGAACCCCAGAAACTGTAGACCGCGCACCAGCCAATCAATGAAGAGCTGAACCAACCCGAGTTGCGATAGCAGACTGCATATGCTATCCTCCTTTGGACTTCCTTTGTCAAATACTAATTTCGCATTTTTTATTGCACCTTTAATTCATAACTTCATCTCGCAGAAACGACAATGATCTCTAACAGACATGTTCACTCTCTGCTTTGTTTGCTGTTGTGCCAGCAATTATTTGAACACACACTGATAATTCCAGTGCATTACATATGTCATGACCAAATAGCAGCGATTGGTTAAATAAAAAAAGGACCCGCCTACAGTCGAGAGAACAAATCCTACTGCTGCAAGGTCAGACAGTTTCCACGAAGTGAAACCGGCTGATGAATCAGGCTAATCATCTGCTTGTCTCAGTGGAGATGTTATTGCTTTGGTTCCAGGATATGACATTAAACACATCTATCTAGCGTTTATTCAGTACAAGTGTGCTCAAAAATACAATAATTTTCTCTGTGAATAGGGTTGCCTCTCCACAATGTAGCCTATAGGTGTCTCCCTTGAGATAGACAGGTTTGATCTCTATCGTGGAACATTATAGATAAAGCAATAACATCTACATGAAGACAAGCAGGTGATGGACCCTCCACCAGAAAAGTTGTGCAATGCACCTTTAATAAAAGAAACATAAAAAGTGTGTCATTGGGTTCTGCTTGCACCTTTACAGTACATCATCACAACAAGGACACAAGAAGGGAAGTCTGGGGTTCTCTGAGTGTATCACGACACTGGGGCCGAGTCAAATTTAAAAATGGCATGAAATGGAAGAAAGAAACCATTAGCTAGACAAGAGAAATTGGTGACTCTGTGTGATGTGGGCAAAGGAGCGAGCTGTTTAATAAAAAGCCTCAGCAGCAAGGTCACACTGGAGTCGCCTGTTTGCAGCAGCCATTTTACCATAATAGGCAGCAATTTTCACAAGCGCCCATGTACGAGAGCAAACTGAAGGAAGATAGGAGTCAAGTCTGTTATATAGAGATGAAGCGCTGATATGTGCTGTGAAGGGGAAGCAACAGTTGAAGCCACAGTAACAATACTATAGATTTATCCTGCAATTCAGCTACTTTGACCGAAACCAGTGAGGCAGAACTTCATGACTATCAGCTAGGAGTGTCACGATAACAGATTTTGAAGCACAATATATCACTACAGAGAAATATCACGATAAAACCGCTTTATGCTTCTGACACAAAGCAGCATAACTCCAGTAAATGTATTTTTAGACAGGGTATCATTATACGGCATGAGCTGCAACAAATAAATAGCAGAATGAAGCCTTAATCATTGTTTATTCTACCCTCTAAAGCTCAAATCTTTCCTTATTATATAAACTGTCCAAACCATTGCAAAGAATTTGTGCACACAATAAATACTGATACTCAATATATATTGTTCCAGCTTACATATATTGAAGTCGATAAAGTAATTATCATGACAGATTTACTATCAATCTATTATTGGCCACATTCTGCATTATGGCTACCCAACTGCAACTAGAGTAAGACTGTAAATAAAACTTTTGCAAATGTAACATGTTCTTCCTTGTCCACATTTTAAGTTAATCTGGCATTTACAGTCTTTTCGAAAGTCTAAAATCAGCTGGTTTAATTATGACCAGGGAGGACTTATTTTGAAGTTCGACACTAAGAAGCATATCATTAGTCTTTTAATTGCCATTGGTTTGTTTATTTGGCTGTAATACTCATATTCGTTGGCCGAGGACAGAACAGATGAAGAACAAGTGTGTGTATATATGCTACAGACCTGTTGATTGCAGAGCTGAGTTCGTGGAGACGGCGTGCGTCGCTGTTGGAGCTGTTGTCCAGTTTGGACAGAGTGTCCATTCTCTTCAGAATCACCTCCAACATGTCACTGATCTTCCTGAGCACTCCTCGAGACTCCACTCCTCCCAGCACTGCGCAATAAAACAAAACAAGCTAAGTATAGGCTCACAGATTTGTGTTACAGTACATTTTTAACCTCATATACTAGCATAGAAGAACACAACGCAGCAAGCAGTGAAATGTCAAAGGCATTGCTAAGTTTATACAACAGTATTTTTAATGTCTTTACATGCACAATGGAATTCACGTTTTAAAGATTATTTTGTTTTTGTCTGCTAAAGATAGAACTTATGACACCTGTGGACCATTATTTTATATGATGGACATTTTAAATGGCCCACATTACGCTATTTTCTGATCTCTGTTATAATGTTGTTTCCTCATCAAAAACTGCTCCACTGTGTTTTTAAACTCCATACACCTTCACTAAAATAATTTAAAACAGTCCTAGAATTGTCAATCTCTACTGAACAAAAGGTAGCTGTTAACCTGAAAATAACCACTGAATGACATCACATGGTAGAACAGAGCATTTTGAGCTTCGGAGATGTAGACGGACTAATTATTCAGGGTAACTAAACATGTATGAACAAAACGCAACTCCAGGTATGTTTTTGATGTGGTAACAGCATTCTAACATGGGTAAAATCCCACAATAGTAAATTTTGCACAATATCAGACCTTTAAAACACAATATTGTTCTAAAAAGACTTAATACAATAAAAATATCCGTTGACCTCCAATTGAAATGTGTTGCTTTGAGTTCTGTCAGCACCTTTACAGTACACCACAATAAACATCATCACAACAATTTGCCGCACTGCTGGACCATATTACCGGACAATACTGCTGGGCCCTCCAATGGATAGCTGCTGTTTATGGAGGGAACAGTGGATTTGGTTTTATTTCTGTCAAAATGGCTAAACTACACTGCTGAATCTGAAATAAAATTACAAAGGAATAAGTAAAGAAAAGTAATTACAGAGCAGGTGGTCTGTATAGGAGGTAGTGACAACTGGATTTTCAGAGAAATAGTGCCTCAAATGCAGGACAATAAAGATTACACAAACATGCACGAATCACTCAAAATCAGGGTCCAAACTTTTTGCATCAAGGGCCACATTTCAAAACACAGTCAAAGCAGAGGGCCACAGACTGGTGGTCAATACACGGAATAATTTAAATGTGTGCATTTAAACCAGGTTAGACTGAGCCACCATACTTTTATTTATGCTTAGATCTTCAATAGGATACACTCAATATTTGATGCTACCTTTATCATGGTAGATTTAGAAAAAACCTGTAGAAAAAAGTGCTGCTTAAGGAAATATGGGCTCATTCATCAGGCCGCATTTAGTCCCCAGACCATAGTTTGGACATGACTGCTCTAAATACAACTTTGAGTGACTTGAGATAACTATGAGGAGGAATCATTTTATAATTTGGTTAAAGGCTCTTCTGTACATGTCTTCTTAAAAGTCTATAGTCACAGTAGTGGTCTAACCCATATGAGTGCTAAATATCATCACAACCTTCACAGATATATTTCATTATAAAGGCTTAGGTCGGTAATGTGCTTTTGCAAATCTTTGAATATCAAATAACGGCTTTGCCCCTCAGGTGCAAAGTCCAACAGTTTAATTGCCTCCATCTTTCTCCTGTATCAGATGCTTGATCTCCAATTTCCTGAGCAAACACCTCACTACCACTCAGCTCTCATCTGTCATACCAGGGCATCTGTGCAGTCTAGACAATGGGAGGCCAATACTGGAATATGAATGCTTTTTGTTTGGCTTTCTTTTTGATGTTTGTTGTTTAGAGAACAATTGTAGCAAAACACAAATAGTTAGAAAGAAAACTACCAACAAAAAACTATTTTATGAAAGATAAATAAATAACTGTGAGAATACAGGTCAGGACCCTCATTTAAACTGGTCAGGGGAAAACCTATTGATCTATTCAAATCAACCAACACATTTGGTCGAATTTTATAATAATGAATAAGCCTGTGTTATCAGTATCAAACATTTAATTTTCTTATAAATATATTTACGGTTGTATCAGCATTATTTGGCAGGTATGAAATGCCAAATAATGCATTGTTTATAGCGCTCTAAGTAATTATAATAATTAGCTCTAAATAAATTAATAATAATCTGGTTTACATAATAAGACATTATAATGTTTACAGAGGACATTATGTCAAATAACTGCAGTCTTTGCTATTTAATTGCAACCTTTAAAATAATGATTTAGACCTGATTGTGTTATAACCTGCCACCCTAATGCCCATGCTTTTCTAAAACGTGATTTGTTTCCCTTAATTGAGTCAAGCATGATGCATTAGCGTCATTGATGAGACTAAGGTCACTGTCCATTCTCGATCCTCATCAGAGCTGCTCCAGGCCCTCAGTGATCACACAAACACCTGGATTATTACATTTGGCCACTCTGTCAAAGCTTAAGGCTGCAGCCTGACAGCCAATTACAGCCAATGGGCCCTGCTCCTCACAGCCCTGTACAAGGTCGCTGTACAGTCATCTCCAGCTCCACTCTTCTTCACATGTACTGCCCCACAGTTTTTGTCACATTTACATGCACTGCCCCACAGTCATCTTCACATGTACCGCCCCACAGTCTTCTTCTCATTTGCTGCCCCAGAAACAGATGAGACTGTTCAAGACTCACAATGTCATGTCCTTTTATTGGCTGAGGCTATAATGATACTCTGATGACATCTCAAGAACTTTCTTGCTCCTTTTTCAAGCTATGGAGGTGCCATGGATGTGGTCTAACTGAAGATGTTTTAAAATGCTTGGAGAGGTCTTTTGTCACACTAAAACATAGAAATGTAAGGGTCTCTAATCAAATATGTGTCAATACACCACTACTGGTTTTACACACAATAATGCATAAAAAATTAAATATACATGTATAAAAGCATAATAAAAACAGTAACAATTGTCTAGTAAGTCTGTATTTCTATTGCTTTTAATAAAAGCACATTCAACAACAATGTTCATTATGGCAGCGACGGAATCAAACGGGAATTTTTAAAAGGCCTAAAGGTAAAGGAAAATGCTAATGAACAGATCACACTCGTCCCCATGGTTTAGTGTTACATAAGATTCCGGGTCAGAGGCTAACTGTGCTATTTGTCTGTTAGCTCAGTCAAATCCCACTGTCACGCAGCTCCCATAAAGCTTAACCTTCATGCAACAAAACAGCAGCTACAGACTGGAGAGATTTTATATTTGTAATAGTACTCTAGTTTGTCGACTTTAGCTCCAATCAAAAAAAGAATAGTGAAGAATCAACACAGCAAATGCAGCTATATGATTTAGATTTGAAAAAAAGTATAATATTACATGTATTTAAATGGCTGAGCTATTGGTTCTAAGTAATCAAAACAAACATTCTGAAGAAATATCCCAAAGAAGAATATTATAGTAATAGGTCTTGCAGAGAAAATGTAATCTTAAAGAGGGCGTATTTTACCTCTGTGGGGTATTAACTGCTAACACATAACATATTTAGATCACCAGGTTACCTTTCAATGTTTTGGAAATGATTAATATGTTTTATAACACTTCTCTTCAGAGTGCTACCACATTACAATCAGGGCACATCCTGCTACTGAAAGTACTGCACATTGTATCAGGTTTGTTAAGATGTTTGTAGTATTTATGGAGAATTGTCGTGAGAGAGCATGGAGGACGTGGACTTATGGACTGAGCAATGCATAGAACCTTACAGCTAACTATAAGGAGGGTTTGAAAAGGGTTTGGGAGAGATCGCTAAAATATTTAAACATGCAGGGATGACATCTAAAACTTCTTCAGACATGTTTTTGTTGAGGGAGCAGTGTTGTAAACTGATAAAAAGCTAACAAAAAATATATTTTGCATAATACTCCCTGTAAACCAAGTTCATTTTGAACAAAAAGTCCAAACCAAGCTTCCACCATGCATCAGAAAAATCCACACTTAAGATTCAGTGAGCGTAAAAGTGGCTGCTAATAAAACTGGAATTGCTAGTTTTCTCTTCATGCTGGGTTTGGCCTCCCCTGGTATGGCCTGTAAAATTTACCTTGGAAACATAAACACAAATGCCGTCTATAACCCTTGAATGAGCAAATCTTAGCCTTGAACCCCTCTTAGAGCTCACATTGAATTACATTATATAGACTTGCATCTGTCCCTAAAGGGATGCCAAATCCCCCACAACCGAAGTGAATATTTACCGGCATGGGCCCTGAATATCTCTTGAGGACCGAACTGTGCGAAGCGTGAAGAGAATTCTTGTTAGAGACTAAATTCTCAGCTGAAAACTGGGAGCAGGAATGTTAGATTCGGGTCTTGTGTGTTACAGGGGGAGAAAACACACAAGCTGCACCATATCTGTATTTTGATTTATTCAAGTAGCATGAAGTGATTAAATGGACCATATTATGCTATTTTCTGATCTATGTTATTTAGATGTTTGCTCATTAAAACACATTTGGAGTGGTGCTTTCTTTAGTTGCAGCTCTGGAATTTCCCATCTCTACTGAACTAAAAGTTAAAGGTAGCTTGAAAACAACTGATCATGACATCATAAAGTGGAAAAAAGCATTTTGAGCTTGAGAGATGTGGATAGACTAATAAAAAAGAATTAACCAAACATGTGTGAATGAAACAAAACACAACTCCAGGTATGTTTTTGACAACATTCTAACAAGGCTAAAACTTCACATTGGTCAATTTGGTGTAATATAGAACCTTTAATTTACATTCAAAGTTGTTTAGCAATACAAAATGAAATTAAATACTGAATAATTCATATTTTTTGGTATAGGAGCAATTCAAATGTCTTTTTTTTTCTTTTTATCTAACAAAGAAAAAACTGACTTTGGCTCGATTTATTCAGATTTGCTAAAATTTAAATGAGCTCATATTTTAGTGGTGACTAATGTGCCTATTAAAATTTGATAATACAAAAAAACTTAAGAAGCACTGCGATAAACTACTGAAGTCATTTTGCAGTATTCATTACTGGCCCGAGTCACACCAGTGGCACTGCAAAATCCATCAATATTACACATACAGCCCCTTTAAAACATACTTATGAACTTGTCACGGTGGGGCTCTGTGCTCTACTCCGAGCTAATCGAAATGGCAGAGGGTCTCACAATACAAAACCGCTGTGACTGTGAGCATCAAATCCTTTCATGGCTCCTTCAAATAGACACTTTTCATCTGAGTCGGGAACAGTGCTGGTCTGTGTCAACTGCACCATCAAAAATGACTTCCCCCTCTCTACACAGCCTCCACGCAGCAGGGTGCAGTGCTACAGGAGAGACAGTGTGCTCGAATACACATCATACATGAGGACCGTGCACGTGAGCCCCTGTTCTGTAGATAAACACAGCTCTGAAGGCATTAAGGCACTGAGGTGAATGGGATCAGTAGTGTGTAATTGTTGCCTGAGGTAGTGCAGAGGTGTGAGCCATAGAGGGACCCAAAAAAATGTGTTACTGTACTTATTAGTAGTAATAAAGTCTTTGTAATACTATGAATGTGAAACACACACACAATATAACAGTAGTTAGTAGGTAAAAATCATATTCCAGATACTAATCAATACTAAAACAAGAATCTACTGGATACTACTGTGAAAAGGTATTAGAGATGCACTAATCTAGCTTTTTCAGTGCTGGTACAGATTCCGATGCTATAGCTTTAAGTATCTCCTGATACCTGATATTAGGGGTGGGCGATATCTCAATATTTTAAATATATCGAGATATTTTTTACATATTTTTGACATATCATATATATAGATATATAGATATAATGCTTATATTCAATTCACCGATTCGCTTGTTTGCCTTCTCTGTGTGCGCCCCTGCCTCCCTGATTCTGCTTGCTTGTGTCTCATTCACTCCTCACTACCGCCATGAATGCCGAAAGTTGGTGCCAGTAAAAAGCTTCTAGCACCACGAAACTTTTCCACACAGCACATCTTCTGTCATTAAGCTAATATTTAACATTATGATAAGTTAAACATTATTAGTCACATTTAGAAACACAATTTAGCAGGACAGGGATATCAACTGATACCAGAGATGGAAAACAGCATTTAATCCCATAAAACAAAAATAAAAGACAGAATTGACCCAAATATATTATGGAGCAGTTATTTATCTCTCAAGTAACTACAGAACTGCTTTGTATAAGTAAAACTTCAATCATTCTGAGCCTTTCTGGCCCAACTATGACCAGTAAATAGTGGCAGTGTAACGGTAAACAAAAATCAAGGCTTGGTACGTACCTCAGTTTTGAGGTCACAGTTCGGTTCATTTTTGGCACAGTATGGGAACAAAATGCAAACCTATTTGTTTACTGTTTATTTGTGTGTTTATTAACCTGTTCCCACCCAACTATTAGTTTTAACATTATACAAACGGGAAATAAAAGAAATGCTGCTTGGTAGTACTAATAAACTGAGACCTTCGTAGGAGACACAGACTCTCGAGAGCTCTGAGCGCTTTTTGTTGGAAATCTGTTGTTGGACCAAGGTTTAACTTTAGAAGCAACTATGTCATCTTGGGACGCTTATGAGACCTCTGATGCTGCAGGTAGATACACAAAAAACACACAGGACTCACTCAAGACACATCTCAAAAACAACTGATTCTAGTGACTCTCAGGGCTTGTTTACATGAGAACTCTTGTGAGTAAAAATCACAAAATATTTTATTGGAAGTGCCTTTCGTTTTGGAGCTTAAAAATGCAAAAATCTGAAACCACCCTCCAGAGTGGAAAGTTTAATTCGCTCCTTTGTAGCATTTCCATCTACACTGCCAAGATGCAAAACTCTGGTCAGATCTGCTTATGTCATATACGCGTTTACGTCACATACATCACCACCTAACGTCACCACCTAGTGCCTGGCATGCATACCACACACTTTTGTGTCACCGTATGCAGTCAGATTTCCTTCCAAAAACGTGAAGATGTGACATAACTTTTGCATCTTCTGTTCAGACTGTCATCATATATAAATGTGGCCCAAACCACTTTTTTTGTGGAACTATTTAGGTTTTAATGTAAGAAACAATCACCCGCTTCTGCACACATACATTTAACATGTTATGAAAGTCAGTTTGACATGAAAACCAAGTTAGTTGAGTGGAAACCCAGAGTAGACACTAACTCACATTTTATTTTCTCTTGACTCACTCTGAAACAGTGATTGTAGTATTAGTAGTAATTGTTGTAGCAGCAGTAGTTATTTTAAAGGTGACAGTGGTATTTTGCAACTACACAGAAACAAAGCAATACCAATAAAAAAATCCTGTATAACTGTCCAGTGCATTTGACCCTGATGAAGTCTTGTCTTGTCTTTCTTCTCTAGCACCTCAGCACAGTTCATAGGTCACCACTGGTCACACCCTGCAGGGCCTGAACCGCTCTTACTCTGTCCTGTAGTGGCTTGGTGAGCGCTGCTTTGGCCACGTAGCCAAGTTCCACGCCGTGGACCATGACCAGATTGTAGCTGTTAAGCTCCTCAAAGATCAACAGTTTAAGGACATGGAGCACGAGGTGAGTCATGTTTGTCATATCAAACTGGCAGGTCAGAGTCACACATGCGTTTGTCCTGATTCAAATACATTTTTTGCAAGGATTTTATTTTGTTGTATTTTGTTTATTTTATTTTGGCAGAGGTGGTAGAGTAGCCAAAAACAAATTGAATTTAAAGGACAAAACAGAACATGACCTAGACCTAGTAATATGTATTGTGTTGTTAAATGCACTTTTTAACCAGTATTATTTCATGCATTTGACTTCACAGTTTTAATCCAAATGCATGTCTTCTTAAGTATCCATGCTGGAGGAGCTCAATATCCTCGACCCCATGCGCACAAACATTGTGTGCTTTCTAGAGCGGTTCGAGGTCATGGGCCTTCGAAATGCTCGAAGCAGACCAGTATTCTTTCATGTTAAACAGGAATTGGGTACTGCTCCAGCTCAGTGAGATCCGGCCTATAGCCCACCAGGTACTAAAGAATTTACTGCAAATATTATGTTGCAATACGAAGGCCCTGCATTTAAGATTTATGGTTTCAAACAGATCTAGTTCATATGAAACTGTTAGTGTCACTTCCTCACTTTTTAGAGCATTTCTTATATCCCAATTAACAACTATTTTAAGTTCAACCCCATTTTTCACAGTACAGTTTTGACTTTTGGTCTATTCTTTTTTCCCCTCTTGTGCCTTTGCAGTTGTTGGTGGCGCTAGACATGCTGAAAGGGCTTGGTATCCTACACACTGATTAGTAAGTTATAATGCCTTTATAAACCTATCGGTGCAGGCCAGGTCACTCTATGTGCCAAAACTACTTGTTTAAGGTACCTGATTTTGTAATTCAGTGTCTAGTTGTTATCACCACATTTTTGATGTTTTCTCAAGATGGCGTCCACTGGTGCTCTTCTTCTTGCACGTCCCTCACACGAGTCCAGTCCGGAAAGATGTCCAAAGTTTTTTTTAGCTCTTCTAAATAACAAATGTTCAAATCTCAAGCCGAGAACATGACAACAGTCTTTGTAGCAAGCTGATTTAACTTCACTACTAATGGGACCACCCGCTTGGCCAAAATACTGAAGCTAACGACTGGAACTTTCTTCTTATACTTAGCTGCAGGTCCGTCTTTGGGCTGAAAAAATCATCCATGAACTCTCAAAATATGTGTAAAACAAATCTCCATCTCCAACTATTTGGCTAACAGTCCAGAGGCTTGTTTTATAACATCAAACACTTCAGACACATCTTTCTTTCTTTTTCTCTAGCTGTAAAGCTAACACTTAGCATACACTCACTTCTGGTTCAACATGTGTAAAGTTAATACAAATGGAGACCCTGCATGTGACGCCATGGCCTTGCCCTGATCTACTTCCAGCGAGCCAAACCGCCAGTAGACACCCATTGTAAAGTTAGCAAATTTTTGAGTTGTTCCTTTAATTTTCACATTAAGACACATGCCGGAAAAGTGTTGCGCACAGAGCTGTAATCAGCAGAGAGATAAAGACACAGGGGTTCAGTTATATCGGATCCCGGTTGAAGCTGACAAACGAGACAAGTGGATCTGCCATCAGTGTATGAAATACCTGTCAATATTCAGGGGTCCCCATCTCATTGTTGAGAAATACAGACTCAAATGTGAAAAAAGAAAAAAGACAAACTGAAATAGGCTCTATTCAATTGATTCAACTTAGAAAATGAATTGTATTTAGCCTCATGTGAGAAATGGTACAGTCCAACTAGTGCTCCTGTGTCTTTAGCGCTGTTGGCTGCTGCTGTTACCCAAACTCAGTGCTTCTGCTCTGGGCTGATGTGCGGTGAGTTTGTACAAACATCGGGCTGACCCTGTCCGGACCCTGTCCGGCTCCGTATGGGATGATGTCTGGACTTTTTTATTTATTTATTTATTTATTGAGGCTTTTTAGGGGGTGTGATAGGTTAATCCTTACAAATTTTATATTATCCAATCAAATAAGTGGTTTGGCGCATGTATCAGAAAAAGGAACATATAGTATACTGTGTGGTCCATAAGTCCATAAGTTACAAGTCAACAAAAGCCAACACCTTACACAAGATTATTATTATTATTATGTGCACATGGAAACTACCACTATAATTGTAATTATCTGTGATGCAAAATGGGAAACAGGACAATGTGATTAGCTAATTTTATCTCTATGTTCAAGTTTATCTCAATGTATTTAAATTAATTAACATATTGTTGTCTGTACAAAGACAGTATAAAGAAATGGACTAAGGGAGTGTGACAATACCCGTAGCATCCAGTCAAATGAGGCTCATGATGCTTATAGGTTATAGGATGAATTTGGTGCATAAAAATACACACAATAACACAATTACTGACATTTTACATTTGAAACATTTTAACGTAACTATCAAAAACATAAACAGTAAAATCATACAATTCCGACACCTAAAAATGTGTGGTACAGCATCGAATCCAAAAGCAAAACATAGCCACCTCCACATAGACACATTGTGCATCTTAATCATAACCCCCATTCACTATAATCCCTATGGCAGCTGTAATGGAGTGCAATACATGTAAAAATATGGGAGACGCTCCGAACACACCTAATATGTAATTGACTAACAAATAAGACACCCACTGCTGCCATCCCACACACACATATGCAAGTACTTGTAATATATTACAAGGAGCACAACAGGTTGGTGTTTTGATTGGCTTAAGGGTTGTTTGCATATTCATGAGAGAGAAAACTATTTGTGGTGTGATGAATACTGACAGGAGAGGCTGCTGGATAGGAGTTGACACAGCTAAATTAACTGGGGACCCGTGTCATATGGCCCCAAGAGCATACACAAGCACACAGTCAAAGAGGAGGGCTGGATTATATTAAGAGAGCATTTGATAAAAGCTATAAATACGACGCTTCTTGTGTAGAGGGTGCCGACTTGAGCTAAAAGCAAAGACTAGAAGTAATCTGGTAAAGATGTAAAAATAAATGGTAAATGTGCCCACGCTCAGAACAGGGACCCTCATACTTTGGTGGTCCATCATCTGCTTGTTTCTATGGATATGTCATTACTCTGCCTAGAATGTTCCACAGTATGCCATTAATCAGTTTTACTTTACATTTCAATTACAGGTGGTTTTATAGTTTAGAAATACTTAGAAAAACAGGCATAGTGTGAGCAGGGCTGCTTCTACACAGATGTGACCTGTAACTGTCTGTTTGGTTAGCCTGATTCATCAGCCAATTTCACTCCGTGGAAACGGCCTGACCTTGCAGCATTAGGATTCGCTCAACAGTAGGCGGATACCTTTTTAATTTAACCAATTGTTGCTATTTGGTTGTGACTTATGTAATGTGCCAAATCCCATAGAAAGAAGGGCAATAACGTCTTTCTCCTTGATAAAATTCACCACACATTCTCTTTGTTCCGGCTTTAAATCCTCGATCTCAGGAATCACTGCCAAAACAGAATGTATGGTTTTGTCTACATCCATCTCGACCGCTTTGTTTACTGTTGTGCTGTACCACAAAAGGGACCCAGACAGGCGCTTGAGTTTAACGTCATGGCTTCACAGCAGCGTGATCTACAACTTCCGGGGTTCTTGCAAACCGTCTAGTGCAGAGGTGTCAAACTCATTTTGGTCCAGGGGCCATATCCAACCTACTTTGATTCCAAAGGGGCCATATCAGAAAACTCATGGCATATATACTCCAAAAATAGCAATAAGTTCAAATATTTGTGCAGAGAAATGCAAATCTATCTTTTTTTAAAAAGAAATCTTTTTTAATTGATGAACTCTTTCTTTTATAAAATATTATAATATTATGAACAACCTGAAACTTTAAGAAAAATGAAAAAACACTCGGCGTCCACTTTTTTCATTTTTGTCATTTTGTTGATGAAGGTGTCACAGTCAATAGTGAAATCGATCGTCCTTTAGTAGCATTTGGAAAGAGGCAAGTCTTCATTTGTGCTGCTCTGGTGGGAGGCGTCCACGCACAGAGGCACTGGAGACGCTGCTATGCTAAGCGGCACAGAAAATTACCAATATTATAATAGAAAATATAATTAAAATATTTTAGTAGAAAATCAGCCGAGGGCCAGATTAAAGGTCTTGGAGGGCTGGATCCGGCCCCTGGGCCGTATGTTTGACACCCCTGGTCTAGTGTATTCCAATTCCTGACCTAGTTGCTGGAGAGAAATGAAACTGAGCAGAGGCACTAGGTGGAGCCAGCCTGGCTACTGTTTGGTTTGCCCCTTTCTTGAATGGGAATCCAATCCATTTAAGAGAACTTGAGAAAAGTTTCACTGCTAAAATATGATATAGGTTAATTTGTGTAAAATGTTCAGTGTTTATGTGCACCAGCAACTCAACAATGCATTGATTCTCTGGAAGAGTTTATAACAGCTTTGTAGTCCGTACAAAACTTATTTGCTTATTTACAGCCCCATGCAAAATAACATCACCTGAATGGCAATAGTTTCAAGTTTTATGTGTGCTCTCCCTCGCTCATGTGTGTTGCTGCTGTAGGTGTGGAGCCTCCTGCTTTCTGATTGGGCTGAACACACTTACATCCTATCTCATCATCACCTGCTGCAGTATTTAAGCCTGGGCTGTTCTCCACTCCTCTGCCAGAGCATTAGTCTGCCAGAGCATTAGTCTACCAGAGCGTGTCTACCACAGTGAGAAGACTTTTCAGGCCCTTATGCCTTTCACTTCAGAACTTGTTTTCAAGTTTTTGCTTACCTTGACTTTTTCTGCAAACCCTCAGATCTGCGCTCCTGTCTGACACCAAACCAGCACCTGTACCTACAAGCTGCAGCTCCAAACTCACAGCCTCTGCCTCCATCTTACCTTTTATAAAGAAATCTTGTTACTTACATGACTTTTGTGTGCTTTTGGGTCCACCTTGTAGATCTAAGCAGTTCCTGCATTTCCTAAAATGTCAGAATGACATTAAACATATCTATGTCCAGGGAGACAAGCAGGTAATGCCACCAGGCCAATAGAGGGCAGATTTGCTTACAGAAATAACACATTTTTTTCCAAGCGATTTTGAGCAATAAATTACTGTAATTGAGTAAATGTACAGTGGATAGGTTTAAGGCCATACTGTGTAACTTTTTAAGCAAAGCACTAGCATCCAAAGAGACAAGGAGGTGACAGACGCCTTACTAGACAAGTTTCATACAGGTTGCAATCATTTCAAGCTGTATGAATTTTACAATTAATGTAAAACTATTTATAACAAAATATATTTAAAAAAGCATGTGACCCATGCTAAAAAAAGGTACTAAAATCACAGCTGATCACAGGATCCTTGTGAGGCTCATTCTGTGCTCTGATTGGATAAACGTCTTGAGAACCAAAACACCAAATTACAACATAAACAACATGGCCATTATGTCCACTTTTTTGTAACTAAGAATAGATCAGCACTACAATTGTTGCAGTTTTCTTTGAACTATCTGGATGCACATTTAGATCACACATATGGTTCCTTAAAGGTACACTGTGTAACTTTTCTGGTGGAGGATTTGCCATCTGCTTGTCTCCATGGAGTTGTTGTTGCTTTCTCTGGAATGCCTTGTTAAACGCCCGCATTAAACGTATCCATCTTGAACTTACTAAATAACATGGGTCATACTGTGAGTGTTCTTGCCTCTTCACCGATCTGACATTTAACTTGGACCTATGGCATTAACCTGCTGTCTAGATCAGTGTAAAGCCATAATGTGTAAAATTGCAGCAACATC